TCCGCTTTATCTAGACAAAAGCTCTTTGTCAATAATTGCGGGACACTGTACAATTATATTATATAATATTTTATATTATATAATATAGTTATTATTATATTATAATATTCAGTTACAATAAAAATTATAAACAGTATTTTCTTAAAAAAATTGATAAAGAATGAAACCAATTAGAAATATTCAATTACCATTAGCAGTAATACTCATGTTAGTTGGTGTATGGACAGAAAAATTCTGAAAGTTTATGTAATGCTAATCTTCAGTAAAATTAATTTTATAAGCATAGAAATGAGTTTTATTTCTTTCCCATTTTGTAATAACCAATATAACATACTATTCTCATAAAGAAAATTATTAATTTTCATCCAGTTAACAATATTCCATTTTGCAAAACGTATACTCTCAGGAAATTTATAATGGTACTTAGAAAATTCTTTCACTTCAGTTTAATGTAAATATATTGTCTGAAAAAATTCTCGAAAACTTTGATGAAAAAAATGGGTTTTTTTCCAGTTTTTTCCTTACTATATTTTTCAGACTTTTTTTGTTATATAATAATATAATTTTATTTTTATTGTCCTTTATGTTATTGATTTCATTAAGTTGTTAATTTCTTTTAGTTTTAAGAATTCTAAGGAGTATATCATTAATTATTAAAGTTCTATGTTATGACTATATATAAAACTTTTTTAATAAAATTCTCTCTCTTTCTCTCTCTTTCTTTCTCTGTTTCCTGATAAAGACATTGAACATTAATTAAAAAAAAAGTATATACGTCAAAACTGAACCTCCTGCACAGAATTACCCTTTTCTTTTTGATGAAAAGAAAAAGAGAAAAGGCATATCGTGTAAAAGAAATTTAATGCCGGAGTATGGAAAAAGAAGAAAGATATTTCTTATAAGAATGTTATTACGTACGTATTGCCGTATGACAGTTTGCAGATATATTCGTATGTTATTCAGCTGCAGTATAAAATATTTCTAGACTCAAGAATGTTTTCATCCTACAGCTAATCAATACACTCAAGAAACCTGTCATACTCGTATATAAAATGACGCATAAACGGAGATAAATTTCTTATTTTTTCTTTTTGCATAAAATGATTTAAAGCATTCCATCATTAAATTCAAATATAAGTGAAGAAAAACTATTAAAAGAATATTTTTTAAAAAATGGAAAAGGTGGATTCCTCTATTTTATTTTCCTGAAAGTTTAAAAATACTATAAGAAAATGTTTTAAAAATTTGTCTGTATTTTTCGGAAAAAAATAGAAAAATCCATGTTTTTTCTTTGATTTTATTTTTTATTTTTTCGGAAAATTAAGAACACTTAAGACAGCATTTTTTAAAATTTTTTAATCCTGTATCTTAAATTATTCAGAAATTATTTATTATTAGATGGTCTAGAACTTTTGGCGGGCACTGTATAATATCGTGTAAATTAATTATTTTTTCAACAAGAAATGTTTTCCTTACTTTAAATGAACCATATTATGCATCTTTATAAGATTTAATTTTGAAAATACAAGGAAATTTTTATTCAAGATATTATTTAAGATTAAATTAAATTTTAACTCAAAATTTAAATAAAATTTTATACTCAACAATATTAATGCGATTTTAGCCTAAAATGCACAATATAATTATTACCAAAGAATTGATTACATCTTCGAATTCTCTTGCTGAACTCGAGTTTACAAAATTGTTTTGAAATAGACCTTTTTTTATTAGAAAAAAGCAATTTTTTTATAATACGTAGGCTGCTGGAAAGTTTCTGCAATCTAGTACTTTCAGTAGAGCCAACGTTCTGCTACTATCATATCCATAAAATTAGACGTTTTTAATCTATAATTCAATTGACAGTCCACTGATCTGTTGTTGCCACTAATGTTGATGCTGTGCGTGAAATGATTGAGCGAGATCGGCATATAACATACCGCAAGATTCAGGCATCCTTAGGGATTGACATGAAAGCAATACATACGATTTTGCATGATCACTTGAGCGTACGGAAACTTTGCAGTCGTTGGACCCTACACAATTTGACCGAAGCTCAAAAACAGACTCGTGTTAAATGGAGCAAAGAAATGCTCAAGAAATTCAACCGAGGTTGGTCAAATTTGGTCTACAATATCGTTACTGGGGACGAAACATGGATCTATTCGTATGAGCCCGAAAATAAACAACAATCCACTGTTTGGGTATTTCAAAATGAACCGAAACCAACAAAAGTTGTTTGTTCACGCAGTGCTGCCAAGCAAATGATTGCTTGTTTCTTCGGTTATACCGGACATGTGACAACCGTGGCTTTAGAGGATCGAAGGACTGTAAATACTGATTGATATACAACAATTTGTTTGCCAGAAGTCATAAATAAATTGCGTAGAACAAAATCGTTGCATCATCCTTCATCATGACAACGCCAGTTGTCATACAGCACGTCAAACCGTTGACTTTTTTTCCAGTAATACTCGTATTGCTCGGCGCTCAAGTCTCGAATATCGGAAGGATGACTCAGCGCGAGATACATTTTGCTACTGCGCGATTCGCGGGATTCGCGCGTCTTTAAATAGTCATTCGAGAACGCACAGTCTGTAGTGTGAGCATGAAATTCGTGCTGCAACCGCTGACGATACGCGTCATGAACTGTGACGCGAAATCGCGAATGATGAGAGGTAGCGCGGAGAAGCGCAAGCACGAAATGCTGCCGAGTATTATACGCGGGATCATTTGCTGCCCGTTGAATTGCGGTAACACTAACGTTCTCATAAGCTTACTCGAGAGCCCGAACGGTGTACATTTCGAGGTATACGTCTATTCGAAATCGTTGCAACAGCCAAAGTATCGATATCTCGAAAATTTGTTTACGTCTATCGATGAAATCGGCTACTTTACGTTCTTCAACAACAGCGACGTCGTTCCATCGAAGGCGCCCCAAATTCTATTTTTATCTATGATGATGTGGCATGCGACAAGCAGGATGCGGTGAGAGAATACTTTTCGATGGGTCGCCACGCGAATGTTGCTTCTATCTCTGTCAGACGTACGCGAGGATACCTAAACATCGGTACGCGACAACGCGAACCTTCTCCGATCCTATTCAAACAGGACGGTACCAACTTGAAACACATTTACAACGATCATCACGATATGTGAATACCAACATGTCGTACGATGAATTTTGCGTATTATTTGTGTTGCCACGCCTGTTGGCAACAAAAATATGGATTCGTAGTTAGACAAACACAGTGCAAATGGTTACTTACAAATAGACGATACAGAAAGAGATTTAACAAGTTCGCGATACCGTAACGCGACCAGTCGATACTTAGTCGAAGACGAACATGGCAGATGTGCACGAGCGTGAAAAAATCGCGAGGGTGATCGAAAAGACGAGCGAGTCGATCCGCAAAAAATATCGCTCTCTGAAGACCGGTAGAATCGAGGAGGGCATCGCGTTGAACAGACATTTTAAATCTTTTATCGAGCTGCTGCAACTTTTCGCCGACAGCCCCGGCGCGCGCGCGAGACAAAGAAAAAGTCGCGCGGCGAAGATACAGCGTCTGCCCATAAACGTGAGAGGAAGGAAGATGAGCAAGAGGAATAAGAGAAGAGAGAAGAAGCGAGCGAGACGTTCGAGCGTTCCACGACTCTGCATAAATCAAATGATCGATTGCACGATTATGTATAACCAGTAACCTCCACTCCGCGTGCTAAAAATCGTATCGATGATAGAGTCGTTGGAGAACGTCTTCGAAACGACGGAAGACTCGCTAGTGACGAAGGTTCAAAATCAGCTGCAAACGTCGGAAGGTCGAGAGGCGTTACGAGCCGGCTTGGGCCCGCTGAGTCAAAAGTACGTCGAGGTCGTCCTGAGGGGAGCGCGAGATAAACAGAGCGGTATAGATCACGTGTATGGCGTTTATTTACACAAGGATGGGCTGATGTTTGGCAATAAACGTTTCAACATGGATGACGCGGACAACATAATTATCGACGGCGTACGATACGCCGGTACACCCGGTCTTTACGAGTTGATTTTCAAGAAAATTCCTGACGATGCCTTCTACACGGAAGACGATATGCACAAGTACAAGAGCATGCTGTTGGTGACGAACGCGCACAAAAACACAAATACCATTCGCAGGGTCGATTATTGAGCAACAGAGGATACAAGTACAAACATGTAATCGCGCCATTGATGTCGGTCACATCCAAGAAACAAAAGAAATCTGGAAAAGGATTACCTCATGCAATGACATTGAATGACAACGCGATCAATTACGTGTACTGGAATGATCCCAACGAGCTGGTGAATAGTCTACGATTGCTTGGCGCTTCGCACCGAGTAGGCAAGAACTCTCACGACAACGAGATACTGCCGATCATCGAGGAACTTCGCGAATCCGGTCTTATTATAAATTAAATCGCGTATTCATAAAACGTCAGTCAAGTGACACCAGCGAGAAAATATACATTATTTTCTTGTACTCTGTGTATTACACGTCGAATTATGAAAAAGAAATCCGATGAAAAGAGAGAACAAAATTAGCTCCGAGAGACGTCGGCTCGTCGAGGAATTGAACGCTCCGGCGAGAAGAAATTATCCGCGAAGGCGCGTTATAATCCGGGAATACGACGATCTGTGGCAGGCTGATATCGTTGAGATGCGCCCATACTCGAGCTTCAACAGAGGCCACCACTACATACTCACATCATCGTCATCGATGTGTTGAGCAAGTACAAGACGGGGGCAGTACCACTCAAGAGCAAGGGTGGAAACGAGATGGCTAACGCTATCGCTGAGATCGTTCGAGAGAGTGGAAGATGTCCAAAAAATTTACAAACGGATATAGGGAAAGAATTTTACAACGCTGATGTACAAACGCTGAGTTACAACGCAGAAAATCTTGAAAAAACACAACGTTAATCATTATTCTACGTATTCGACGTTAAAAGCATTAGCGGTCGATCGGTTCAATAGCGCGCTCAAAAACGATATGTGGAAGATGTTTACACTCAACAGCAATTCCAAGTGGGTCGACGAGCTGCCGTGTCTCGTGTCAGATTACAACGCGCGGAAGCATCGCACCATCAGCATGCGATCCGCCGACGCAATTTTCGCGATCGCCGAAAGACTCTTGGGCACAGTGTATAGCGCGATAAAGATAGCGAGTCCTGCAAAATTCAAAGTAGGCGATTCGGTACACGTGAGCATGTACAAGACAATTTTTGAAAAGGGTTATACACCAAATTGGACCACCGAGGTGTTTACGATCATTAAGGTGCGGCGTACCAATCCCGTAACCTATCTACTCGAGGACTATCGTAGAAAATCCGTCGCTGGAGCGTTCTACGAGCATGAGTTGCATCGCGCTATTCATCCGGATGTGTATCTCGTGGAGAAAGTGTTGCACAGGAAAGGCGACAAAGTGTGCGTCAAGTGGTTGGGATTCGATAGATCGCACAATTCATGTATACACAAAAACAATGTTATTTGATAAAATTTTAATTGATATATTTTGTATACATATAATAATATAAGTATATAAACATGTAAAATATTTTTTTATTATCCTTTCCATTTTTAGAGTATACAGATATAAAATACGTATATAAATGTACGATACATGAAATAAAAAATAATAGTAATATATAATAAATGACACTACATAAAACATAATAATAACACTTACATCAAACGTAAAAAACATGTATAAATGTATAAATTATAATGATAATAGTACATAATAGTAACAGATATGTACGAGGTCTGTTCAAAAAGTATCGCGAATTTTGAATTTTCGCGGGTTACGTATATTCGATTTTCGATTTTTTGTGGCTTTATGTTGGTACTCATGTCTCTCACTTATGTCGACAAGTTCGGCCATTTTGAATGTTCAGTTAATTTTTGACAGCTGCTTTGCTTGCACGTGTTTTGGCTCGTCTTCGATTTTTGCCTATTCCAAAAAATGGATCAAAGAATCTGTATCAAATTTTGTGTGAAAAACAAAATTAAGTGCGCGGACGCATTCCGAATGTTGACTGTGGCATATGGTGAAGCTACCTTGGACCGAAGCAACGTTTATCGGTGGTACAAAATGTTCTCAGAGGGCCGAGAAGATGTGAACGACGAAGAGCGTGTCGGACGCCCGAGCACGTCAACAACAGACGAAAACATTGATGAAGTGAAGAAAATAGTATTGGCCAATCGTCGAATCACCGTTAGAGAGGTTGCTGAGGACCTAAACATATCGATTGGCTCGTGCCATTCGATTTTTACCAATGATTTGGGCATGAGACGGGTCGCCGCAAAATTCGTACCAAAATTGCTCAATTTCGACCAAAAACAGCATCGCATTAACATTGCTAAGGAGCTGTTGGACTCTGTCCGCGACGATCCAAATTTGCTCCAGATGGTCATAACTGGTGACGAATCATGGGTTTATGGTTATGATGTGGAAATCAAAGCTCAATCATCCCACGATTGAGGAGATAAAGACGGCATCGAAGGAGGAGTTGAACAAGATCACAAAAAATAATTTTTTGAAGTGCTTCGAGGATTGGAAAAAACGTTGGCACAAGTGTATAATATCTGATGGGGATTACTTTGAAGGGGACAAAATAGATATTCATAAATAAATAAATAATTTTTGAAAAAACACAAAATTCGCGATACTTTTTGAACAGACCTTGTAGATTGTATGAGAATATTTAAAAAAATGTAAAAAGACATACATGAAGCACAAATTAAGAAAATACATAAAGCATGATAATAGTAATACATATATGCTGTATGAAAATATAAAAAATGTAAAAACATAATAGTAATATAAATGTTGACGTACATCTATTACAAAGGTATCCGCCAATGTCCCCATGGTAACGTCTCCGTCGAGTCCGGTACGTATCATTTGTCGTCGTATGGACTCAGAGCGATTTTCGATTCGGATATCGTGTATACCTCAGTTTAGATCGTATACACAATTGAGGACAAGTCATTTCGATCTCTTCGTTCAAACACCGCGTGTAATCGTCGAACGTTATCGTTTGCGCTACGACGTTACTCTTTACGCCTTTCACCTATTTAGTGTCCTTCTTGCCGTTCACCCTCACTGCGTATATCTTCGCTCTGAGACCAACGAATTCAGTCATTATCGCACCGTTATTTTCGTCCTTCATCAGACCGGGTACTTTTTTGTTCGCGAGAGGCATACCGTACGCGTTGTCCGTCGGATAATCTCTCGTGTCGAATCTAGGGATATCTCGCGTTTCATAGTCTCGTAAACGTCTTCGTACTCGATGCGGTATATAAGACTGTTTGTATCGGTACATAATTTTACATTTGTCGCGAAATAGTGGTAACATATATTCGTCGTGAAATTTGTACAAGCAGACTTTCGATATGTCGAGTATACACATACCCATGTAAATCGGCTTGTTGAACTTCATCTCGAGTTTGCGCAGTTCGACGGCGATTAAATTTTCCGCAAAGACGCTACGGATGTGGAAATTTGGTTTTGCAATCATTGCCTCCACGCCGTATCGTCCGTCCCATTTTGTTAATAATTTTACGTCGACGTGATTGCGCACATTCTGCATAGTTTTACCGAATACTGCGTTGTTCATTAGTTTACAAATTTTTTTCAAAATCGTTTTTCGCGCGCGTTCTGAAATTTGTATTAAGTTCAATGTAATCGCGAAGCCATGGAAATTGCGCGAATTGTAGCACCCGATGGATCTTTGTTACGCGAAGATCGTGACGAGTACATTTCTGCAGGTTGCGGTAGTGGATGACATAACGCTGTTTATCGTGCAATGTCGCTAAAAGTTGCTCGCGCTTGCCGGGCGGCTTATCGCGCGTCGGACAGAACGGTAGGTCAGTGTGTCGGTCGTGTATATGCTGCGGATACTCGAGATCGACTTCGAGAATGTAACCAGAGCGATCGCGCTCGCGTCAAAGTTCACAGCGTCTTCGAGCCATAGAAATTTGGCGTATGGCAATGGTTGACACATCGCCCACCCGTATAAATTGTGAACGTCGTAGTACATCAAGTACGACGACGGTTCCGACGGGTCGTACGAATGCATGTACTTGTTATTAGCTTGCGCGTATCTGCCTGAACATTGATTGAGATCACCGTATATACCGCACTCAATGAACATTATCATGTCAATTATCAGTGAACAAGTCAAACTTTACACGCGTATGTTTTAACATCGCATCCCACGTGAAACCAGGCAAGATAATAATGTGCGGCGTCTCGCACACGTTTGAGCACTATTTCTCTCGCGTTTTTTAAATTAAATTTATTTCTGAAAATTAATTTAATTTAAATGAGTATATATTATATAGTATTGTAAAAAACAAAAAAGCGTACCACAACAAAAAATCTACGCATGAATAAAATAAAATACCGGAAATCTAATAAAAATAATAAAATTATGTAATAAAAACTCACCAGAATTCATATGTAAGCAATTTAAATTAGCGTGTCCAAAAAGGAATAAAAAACTTTTGAAATATATACAGCAAGAAGGAACGCAGATGTGTAAGACAGACATTACGTGTTGATTATTATGTACGTTCAGAAGTGCGGATCAACACAGACAGAAGACGGACTGTAAGTAACAGAAAGTCAAACTTTGTTTATGATGGGAATATAAGCCTTGTGGAGGCCATCGGTGTCAGTTTGTAAATTGAAACCGAACTGTGGAAGGACGGCTAGACTCAATCTCACAGGTATACGCGGAGAGGCGAACACCTGTGAGTCGCACGCACTCTTTTCGGTCCCGGAATGCGGGACAACGTCCCAAAAGGACGCTATGATACCTGTTCCTGAGGGACGGTGCGAACGTCGGTCCTACCATTTGGGTCAAGGAACTTAATCCTTTTGACCCGGGACTGGACCTCGTAGGATCTTAAGAATTAGAAGGTGGGTGAATGAAGCGAAGGATAACAAAAGGATGGAAAGCCAGCGGACTTCAATTACAATTAATTGACATTTATTATGCTTACAGATATTATTACATTAAGTGATTATGTGAAGATTAATAAACATATCGCAATTATCTTTTGCAAGTTGTGTGCGCGCGCGTGTGTGTGTGTGTGTGTGTGAGGAGAGACAGGAGAGAAGGAGGATAGAGGTTACTGGGGGAGGGGGGGGTTGAAGGCGAGGAAGATGGCGCAGGAGCACATTGGGACGAAGTATTGGGTGGATCCATATATTCGTTCGCTTTTTGAAGGCTAAAATGAAACAAGTTTTTTTCATACAAAGGATGAATTTTAATCAATAATATATTCTCCGTTTTTGTTGATGACCTCTTGCCGTCTTTCCAACAATTTCATTATTCCGCTCTCATAGAAGGTCTGGGGCTTAGAGGCGAAAAACCGGTCGAGGTACGTTTTCACAGCTGTCTGATCAGCGAACGATTTCCCGTTGAGGGAGTTTTGCAGGGACCGGAACAAGTGATAGTCGGATGGCGCAAGGTCTGGTGAATACGGTGGGTGAGGCAAAACATCCCAGCCAAGTTGCACTAATTTTTGCTGAGTGATTATTGCGGTGTGGGGTCTGGCGTTGTCATGGTGGAATATGACACCTTTGCGATTGATCAGTTCTGGACGTTTCTGTCGCAATGCTTGATTCAATTTCGTTAGCTGCGTGCAGTAGATCTTCGAATCGATCGTTTTTCCCTGAGGAAGCAGCTCGTAAAACAGCACACCACGATGATCCCACCATATGGATAGCAAAATCTTCTTCGGATGCAGGCCGGCCTTCGGGGTGGCATTCGGCGGCTCGCCAGCGGTTCCCCACGATCTCTTGCGCACTATGTTGTCATAGATGATCCACTTTTCGTCGCCAGTCACTATTCGTTTGAGAAACGGGTCGCTTTCGTGCCGCTTCAGAAGTGAATTGCAGATGGATATGCGGTTGGCCAGGTTCTCCTCGGTCAGCTTGTGCGGCACCCAAACATCGAGGCGGGACACGTAGCCAAGCTGTTGCAAATGCCTTTGTACGGTTCCATAACCTATTTTAAGTGTCTCCGCAATCTCTCGCACCTTTAGCGTCCGGTCTTGCTCAACCAGTGCCTTGATATCATTCGAATCAACCTCGGTGGGCCGACCGCTGCGGGGTCCATCTTCAAGACTCGTATCTCCGGAACGAAATTTGGCAAACCATTTCTGAGCGGCACGTTTTGTTAAGGCATCGTCCCCGTATACGCTGCATATCTTTCGGTGGGCCTCCGCAGCTCGCTTGCCTTTCTTGAAGTAATAAAGCAAAATGTGCCGAAAATGCACCTTATTCTCCGACATGTTCACAGGTCTATAGCACAAACAAAACTAATGCCAATGAAACCAAATTTGACAGATGAAAAGAGCGGACTGTCACCTTTCCAAAACATATTTGGATTGCCCGATTAGGCAACCAGAACCGGAGATATTCGGAAAAAATTTGCACTACTAACAAAAAGCGAACGAATATATGGATCCACCCAATAC